AATTGTTTAGGGTGCAACTGGGTACATTGTTTTTTTCTTTTTCTGTAGAGTTGTTTTTTGTGCTGGAGAAAAAAAAATTGGGAGTAAGAATGAATTTTGAGGATGTTATGGATATGAGATGCAAATGCAACAGAAGTGTGATAACAAAATTTGTGGAAAAATTGTAATAAGGATATGTAGTTCTAGTAAAGTGAGTTGATTGGCTGTGACTGAAAATAAAAGGAAGTGTATTTTCTGTAAATTTTGGTTGGCAATCCATTACTTCTGGGGTAAAGGATTTTCTCTAGCAGATATTTTTTTTGTTCTTTTAAAAAACATAAAGTTAGTAGTTAGTACATTGTGCTTTAACTTCTGACCAATAGGGTATAGGTTTTGTACTAAGTTATATTCAGATAGTTGACAATATAATGCCATTACTATGCACAGGGGTAAAGCGTGTGGTAGATTTATGCGCAGCACCTGGAAGCTGGAGCCAGGTATCTGTAATTTTATGTTAGTGTAATAAGTTTGAGATAATAATGGAATAACAGAGTTTTCTAGGTACCCTTTACCAAAGATGCTAAATTATCCGAATTAACCAAATGCATCACATTCCGTTAAGCCCTGTCTTGAAAATTTTTTTATTTTCAGGTTTTGAGTCGAAAACTATACCTGCCATCAAAGCTGTCACCTGATTCCAAGTACATTTCTTTGATGAAATTTTTCGATACTCTTAAATCTTATTTTTGTTTCCTTGATAACATTATTTCCAATTTTATTTTTGTGACAATTTAAAACTTAAATTGTCAGGAATGGTGATCTACCACTTATTGTGGCAATAGACTTGCAGCCTATGGCTCCTATTGAAGGTGTTATTCAAGTTCAAGGGGACATTACAAATGCAAGAACAGCTGAAACTGTGTGGAATCTAGAATCTCAATCTTCTCATTATTTTAGGTTTTAAAACTTTCTACACAAGTCTAATATTTTTTTCCTTGTTTTCTCAGGTAATTCGACATTTTGATGGGGGCAAGGCTGACCTTGTTGTGTGTGATGGGGCACCTGACGGTGTGTAAATTATTATTATTATTTTCAACTTATATATGACCGTTTGCAATACATGTTGATGTATATTACCAATGTATACACTCGACTTTCTCATCATATTTCAGTAACTGGCCTGCATGACATGGATGAATTTGTTCAGTCCCAACTCATTTTAGCGGTTAGTGATTTTTTATTTTTTTTTTGTTATTATTTTGTTATTTTATCTTAGAACTTCATATGCATTCAAAGACAAAAATATATGCCCTTTGATTAAAATGTGAATTTCAGGTACTTCTAGCTCTCAATTGTAACATTTAATATATGATTTTGTGCAAAGATAAATATATATTTTCGTTGCAAGCTGATGCGAGACTGTGGAATATCATTCTTGCAGGGACTTACCATAGTTACTCACATACTGAAAATAGGTGGAAAGTTCATTGCCAAAATATTTCGAGGCAAGGACACTAGTCTCCTTTATTGTCAGGTTCGTTTCAAAATTTTTCTGCACAAACCAGGCTTCCTCAGAGTTTCACTTTCATCTCATGATATTTTCCATGACTAGCTATTCGAGCCACTGGCCTAATGAAATTTGGTGTTTTTGCAGCTAAAATTATTCTTCACGGAGGTCACATTTGCTAAACCGAAAAGCAGTCGCAACTCAAGCATAGGTTAATAGCTGATTCTTTATTTATTTATTTTTCTCTGGCATTTGTAAATCATCCTTTGCCTCTCTTAAAAACCCACCTGATTCAGTATCTATGCGAGTGAGGATGCTTTTTTCGTTTCATTTTATATTAATAACTTGAATTTAACCTTGGTCTGTAACTTTTGTTTACATTCCAACACAGAGGCTTTTGTAGTTTGCGAGAATTACTCGCCTCCCGAAGGATTTAACGGAAAAGATCTACACCGACTCCTGGAGAAAATTGGAAGTCCTTCGGGTGCCGATGATCTAGGTAAATCTCAATACCATAAAATTATTATTATTAGAGACAGTAGTTTCTTTTATTTTATTTTGTTTTTATTTTTATTTTTTTGAGACAAATGCATTTAGCAGATTGTAGCAGTGGGTGGCTCGAAGGGCCGAACAAGGTTTATATTCCCTTTTTGGCGTGTGGTGATCTCAATGGTTACGACTCAGATCGTTCGTATCCACTTCCTAAGTCCGCTGATGGAACTTACTGGAGCTTGGATCCGGTACAACCTCCTATTGCACCACCGTACAAGCGTGCTTTGGAGTTGAAGAAAGCTGCAAATCATGGGACTCAAGGTCTTGAAAAGCTTTCCCTTGATTCTTGAATGACTTTGGTGAAATCTATTGTATCAAGGAAAATGGCATTTTGAATTTGTTCGAATATTTTCGCAGAGGTTTTTTTTTTCCTATATTTTCTTTAGACATAAAAACAAATTCCATTACTTATTTATAATGAAATTGTTTTCTTGAGAGATAAGGACAAAATTAAATTTATGTGAATGTGTGTTCGGATGGATGATAAATATTGTAAAAAGTTCTTAAAAAATACACTAAAAAAATTCAACTAAGAAAGTTTTAAAAGCAAAAGCTCTTCTGCATTACTAAAAAAAAACAAAAAAAAAAAATTCTATTTAACTCCATTTACATCATTCTTTTTCATGTTCTTATTTTCTTATTCTTACTTTTATTGTTATTATTTGCTTCTTTTTATTCCCTAACACGACTGTTAGTGTTAATCGAACTCGGTCTCTGCTTATTCAAGAAATCGATATAATCCTCGATGGTCTCAGCCCTCTGACAATAGAATGCTTCTGCATACGACCGTGATTTTGCTAGGCTGGCCGATGACGAAACCCGGCCAGAGTGTTTTTTCCTGGCCGGGATTGCCGGTAGGGCTTTTGACACTTTTGCCCCTACGTTTTTCTGAAGAAATTACGCAGCGAAAATATTCACGACCCGTTTGGCTGCCGGAAAATCCATATCCTTAGTATCGCTCTGTTCAGGCTGCTGGCGCCGTCATGTGTTTGGTTTCAGAGAGATGGAGTTGGTAATAGTGAAAGCGGTATTTATTAGGAAGAATGAAAATAAATTGCATTGTAAAAAAACTAAAAACTAAAAAGGAAAAAGAAAAATATCTAGCAATTTTTTAAAGGAAACATTGATGTCGTCACATTTGTGCACTATTTCATGTGAGACGACATTTCGAAATTTGGTTGATTCTACATGCCTAATTTGTATAAGACATTTTTTTTTTTAAAAAAAGTGATTACTGTAAATTTGTATTTATTGTGGATCCATAAATTATCAATTAATACGGATTACTATAATTTTATATTTAATGTGACATCCATAAATTTATCCATGCTAATAAAGATTACTATTAACTTCTATTCTTTTTATTTGTTACTTTAGTTCTATTGATAATTAATTAAATAAATGACGTTTCAGATATTTTATATATACTAGTAATCAACTTGTGCATTTGCACAGAGAAGAATACTTTAAAAAGATAACAATATAAAAAAAAAACAAAAATAAATCATAATTTAATTCATGAAAAAAAAATGAATTAAGAAAATAATTCTCAAAATTGATTTTGATCAAGTAATTGTTATGAAAGAGCCGTTACAACCATTTGCTTTATGCTAATATATACGGTTATTTTCATGAGTGGTGTGACTTAAAATTTGAGTACAATTTTGTAACTCCCTTGATTGTTTTATGCTCATAATTTATGACATTAAAGCAAGTTATTTTGTAACTTAAAAATGAAATTGAATGTTGAAAATTTTAGAAGGATAATAGAATTTAATGCATGATAATATAATTAAATGTTATGTTGCTCCTCTTTATATATATATATAGATATTTTCAATTGTTAGTCTCATTTAATTAATACACTACACGTTTTGGCATGAAGCTTGTGAAAAATGATGAGTTTTCTCTTGTAAAAGAACAAAAAAAAAAAGCAAAAAAAAAATTAATTAATTAATGTTAGTTTGCTTTGAATAAGGCTAATAATTGACGAGAAAAGATTTCTTAATTTATGTGCTAAAGCATAGAATGACATTTAAAAATAATACGAGGTAGTATAATTTACTATTTGCAATGGCGTATAAAACTAGACGGCATTGGGCAGTTTATATATAAAAAAATAAAAAAAAATTAACTGGACAAAAATAAAAAGAAAAAAAATTGTGGACAAAAATAAAAAGCACGTATTCTCATAATACATTTTTTAATTAAAACTTTTTTAAAAAACATATTTTGGTAATACGTTTTAAAATTATATTTGTAAAATGTTATTTTCTTAAACAATTGAAAAAACAGTATAAAACGTATTCCAATAATACATTTGAAAAAAAAAATTAATAAATAAAATGTATTTTGATAATACGTTTTATAAATAATTAAGGACTAAAATGTATTATCAAAATACGTTTTATAAATAATTAAGAAAATACGTTTTATATTTTAAAATTAATGAAAAAAATTAATATGTAGTACATATTTTGGGCTCGTTTAGGCTCGTCTGAACTCGGAATTGAGTTCCGTTTTTTTTCTATACGTAGCTAACCAACCCCTCTATTCAATGATGCTTGCATAGCCAAATTATTCTTGAAATCATATTTTCCGAAAGCTCTTGACCGATACATTAAACGTGTTTCGCGCAACTTTGCCTTTTGGGCCTGTTCGGACTCATCCAAGTTCGAAATTGATTTCCGTTTCTTCCTATATGTCGCCAATGAACCCTTCTACGCAACCATGATTGTCCGGTCAATTTTTGGGCTAAATCTATTTCTTTTTTTTTTTTCCCCGAAACGATAGATTATATTATAAATCAAAATGCACAAATGTGCGAATACACAGCAGCCAACGACTGAATAAACATCAGTCAACAACTGAAAAAGTGGGAGGACAGGTCAGAAGACCGCCTAGAGTCCCGGCTAGCAACGCTAGAAAAACTCGCAACTAAAACTAACCAACTAAAACAACTAACAACAACTAAAAGACCCCAACGGAGTAATACCCGAGTGTCGGATCCCACCAGGATAATAAATTTGACACTCGGACACACAGAGGCCAACGGCCCAAACTAAAAACACAGACCTAAACACAAGACACGATAAAAAGAAAACAACCGAAAAAAAACCTAAACAAGCAAAGCCCTTCCCCTGCGAAAAAAACCGAGCCTAGCACGAGGCACCAGCGAAATCCAGACCAAACACCCGATAGCATAACACGAAAGCCGGAAACCCCTCCCACCACTGCCTAAAGCCTAGCAAGGAAGAGTCCAATCCTCGAACCACACCACGGATGAGGTCGACCTACAGCCCAACAAGGATCGATCCGCCCCACCACACAGGCCCGCTTCCCGCGACCCGACCAAAAACCGATGGCCAGAATCCAGACATGTCGGGTATCCAACTCCACCAAACCAGCAAAGAGGACACAGAGGCAAGAACCGAACCAACATACCCCAGCCGATTCGACTCAAAAGAGCCGAGCCACCAGGACCGCACCCAACCCCAATCGCAACCACTCACTTCCTTGAAGCCACCCACCACTAACCTGCAGCGCAACAGACGAGCTCCCAGCGGGGACCGGGCAGTGAGGACGCCAACCGACGGCCAGCCACCATAGCCACTACACCAAGAAACCGAACTCGGAACCACGACTAGCGGGAAGAGAGTGGCGAGAACTGCCGATAGCTTGGGAAACGCCATCGGCGCAGAAGAGCTAGCGATGGAGAAATTGAGGAGAGATGATGAAGCTAAAGGTCATCCGCCGGCGATAGGCCCGGCTATTCGCCGGAGAAGGCACGCGATGTACCGAAATCGACGAGCTGCGGCGGCTAGGGTTTAGAGGAGAGAAATTTGGGGAAGCACAGCTAAATCTATTTCTCACTGGCTAAATAATTAACAAATCACCCATTAACAAATCCTCCATGGAATAATTAACAAATCACCCATTATATAAATAGATGGTCCATGGAGGATTCGTTAATGGGTGATTTGTTAATTATTTAGCCCCGTGAGGAATCGATTTAACTCAAAAATTGATCAAAAAATCATGGTTGTGTAGAGGGGTTCGTTGGCAACATATAGGAAGAAACTAAACTCAACTACGAGCTTGGACGAGTCCGAACGGGCCCAAAAAACAAAGTCGCGCGAAACACGTTTAATGTGTAGGTCAAGAGCTTTAGGAAAATATGATTTCAAGAATAATTTGGTCATGCATGCATCATTGAATAGCGGATTTCGTTAGCTACGTATAGAAAAAAACGTAACTCAATTCCGAGCTTAGACGAGTCCGAACGGGCCTTGTTGTCGTTCACGGTAACGGCGTCTTCTACCTCCACCAATGTTGGCAGCGGATTGATGCCTCGCTCTGTGTGACTGTGTACTCTAGGATGGGACGTAGTCCTTCTTGGATATAACTTGACTGAACGACGCCCCTTGTGTGACTTCTTGGCCTCCAACAGTCAGAGAACTATAGTTACTCTCCCGGATGAGTGCACAGAAGATCAACATATTTGGATGTATAGGGGGTGGATCTTCTGTTGGAACATACGTGACGTCCACTTGTCTGGTAAGGTTCTCTATTAGTTTGGGTGTCAGCAGTCCATCCCCCAAAATCAGATGATTAGTGGTGAGCAAGAATGGGAGACACACCACAGAGGCCGTGGAATGACTGGGAGGGCATTTGGTGATTGGGCCGCCTTTCATTCACAGCTTACCAAGGGATGAGTTGATGAAAGAGAACAAACTGTCCTCCAAGATGCCCCTATGGATCACTTCCTACAGGCTGAGTAGGGTTACATTGATTGGTTTTACACTAGGACTGTGAGACTTATCAGTGACCCTACCAAGTACACGGTGGTCAAACAGGACGTCGGTTATCAGACAGTTGCCGAGCGGGAGAAGTGCGATATAAGTGTTCATAATTTGTGGTTCTTTTTATTATTTCTTTTTTTTTTGTGTTTCATACTAATTACTTTGAATTTTATTTTCAGACTCAAGCCCTGAAGGGGGTTTATAACTCGTTAGCGAATATTCAGGACATATTTCCTACACTCCCTCCACGGGCGCAGACCGCATTCCAACAGTCATACAACATTGCCTATAGTTATCTGACCAATAGTCATACAACATTGCCTATAGTTCTCTGACTGTTGGAGGCCAAGAAGTCACACAAGGGGCGTCGCTCAGTCAAGTTCTATCCGAGGAGAACTACGTCCCATCCCAAAGTACACAGTCACACAGGGCGATGTTATAAACTACCCTTTGTACTTCTCATAATTTTTTTTTCTTTTTATTTTTGTCCAGTTATTTTTTTTTATATATATATATATATAAACTACCCTTTGTACTTCTCATAATTTCTTTTCTTTCAATAAAATCGAAATCTCTCACAACCTTCTCTCGATGAATTATCACAAATAAATCCGAAAAATTGGCAAATCGTGACCAAGGTCGAGGCAAATGTCTCATGATTCCTCTAGTATGTTTGTATTTTCGATTAGTAAATAAATATAAAAAAAAAATTAAGATTTCTGCCTCAGTGGCCGGCCAGTGATCGCAGTTGTCTGCGACGTGGCCGGTTTGCAGGGCCGGCCAAATCCAGGGTGACCGGTTTTAAGGGTCGTTCGCACCCTAGGCAACCGGCATCGCATGTCAGCTGCACCCTCGGCAGTCGTCATCTCCAGTCGGCCGACCGCCGCCGATAAGTGCAGCTTCGCCGGCTGGGCGGCTGACAATTTTGATATTTTTTTTAGACGTTTTTTATTTTTTTAATAAATAAAATTATTTAAATATATTTAACTATTTAAAAATGGAATTGAATTAATTCTTTTATTTAGGTTAATTAAGATAAATTTTAGTTTAGTTGTTATTAATAGTATGTTACTTATAATTAATATATATATATATATATATATAAGTCAAATGTAATTATATTAAAATTATGATAATAATACTTTTTAATAATACTAATTATTAATAGTATAATGCATCTAACTTTAGTATTTTCAAGAATCAAATTAGTTATAATAGATGTAATAAAATGTTTTGTTAAGTAATTATTAGTTTTAAATTTTAAATTAATGTTCTAATATAAGTTTAAAAAATGCATAATTTTGTTAATTTATTTCGTATAATTATATAATCCAAAAGTAGAATTATATTAATTATGTGGTTACGAATAATTATTATACTAATTTTTTAATACTTTTTATGAAAATAATTACTTGTAATATTTAATAATGTATTTTAGAAAATAGTAATAATTAATAATAGTGTTTATGATTAGTTTGCATAAATATTTGTAATGACTAGTTAATTGTAATTATTTTATAATACTTAATGAAATATATGAATTTAAAAAGATTGTTTACTCCCTCAAATTAATAGTGTTTATGATTAGTCTTTCAATTAATAGTGTTTATGATTAGACTGAAAGACGTTCTGTTTTAGAGAGACATTCTCTATCTGATATGTTGGAAAAAATAGATAATTTATTCAAAATGTTAAAACAATTAACTACATGATAAAAAGTTTTAGTAAGGGTAAGAGTGTCTTTTTACATGGAAAAATAGTTGTTATCTATATATATTAAAACAAAGCAGCTGGTTCAAGAGCTGTTTTCCCGCCTAAGATATGTATTAATTGTTATAATTAAGTTGTCTTTAACTATATTTTTCTAATGTCAAAATGACTGGTCACTTGCTAGCATTTAAATATAATAATAAAGTCCATTACTTATGATGAAATTCTTGGGTTCAATGCATTGAGAATAGTAATGACAATACTCCCTTAAAATTTATCACCAAAAAATTAGTTATACAAATTAATAAAGTGTATCCATTCTGGCACCAAGTTGTTTACTTCTAATTCAAATGATCATATTTATTTACTTGACATTTCAGTTTTTTATTTGAACTCGAACCAATATAAATTTATAGAACATTATCAGTGGAAAAAACAATATATAAAAATTAATATAGATCATAATGCTAATGAGTAAATTGAACAACGATGTATACTAAATGAGTATTTTATAACTCAGTAGTTATTTATTAGTGCCATTATAATAACTAAATTATTTTCCAATAATTGAACTTTAAATTTATATTTATAAGAAATCATGATTGTGATTCACATTTTTTAATAAATAACATTCAATATTTTTGGAAATATTGAATTTGATTTTCAATTTATTTACAAAATTTATTTTGTACACGGCAGGGGTTCAGTTTTTCTTTATTTAATTGAAAATTTGTATTATTCAAATAATAAAATATTATACAAAAAATATAAAAAATGTATATTTTAAGTTTAATCCATTATATATTTTATAATGCCACAATTGATGTATTAGCATATGGAACTCAATATAAACAACTTAATTTTTTAATAAAATTACTTCAAAATACAATTGTGAAAACCAAAGTAATAAATGAAACAGTGTAGTGTAAATTTTTTCTTAGTATGAAATAATAAGGGTATATATTTACTCATATTTTATGGAATACAATATCCCACTGGTTATACTTATTAATTAATTAATTTATTATTATTATTATTATTATTATTATTATTATTATTATTATTATTATTACATCTATCAATATATGGTATGAAGTGAGAAAATTTATTCATGTTATTTGATGACTGTTTTTTGGTAGGAAATTTGTTGAAAAAGTAATCAATATACGGTGTACTTTTTTTTTTTTAATAATGAGCAGACCAATATATTGGTTTTTAGGCGTGGGTTTTAATTTTTCGTATGAAATTAACATAAGAAAATTACCGTAACTCCGACAAAATAATATGAGCAGATATTTTGATATTATGTGCATGTATCGATGTTTCTTTTACAAAAAAAGCTCAGGTCAATTTTTTTTTATAATTAGTGGGTCTCGATTTACTGGGTATGTTGTTGTTGTTGTTGTTGTAGTGAGCCTCGATTTAATTCATTTTTTATTATGACATTTCAAATAATTGTTGTGTGAAATGCACTGTTCATTTTTTTTAGCATGATAAGAAGTGTCGATTTTTTGGCATAAAAACCCTTATGACTGATTGTTTTTACTAAACTACTTAATAATTTTAATTTAGATATTTTATACAAAAATAAATTCATATTAATTAATGAAACAATATAAGTTTTATATTTATACTATTATTTTTAAATATATGATAAATTTTACCAAAATAATTATTTTATGGAATCACATTATAGTTAAATTGAATTTTCGAATAAAATTTTTGAAATGACACATTTTGAAATGAATATAATGTAGTTTATTATCAATTATGTGCAACGCGCGGGTTGTGTACTAATTTTAAATAGACATTTTTATGTAATTTTGCACTATTTAAATTTTCTATAATATTTTCAATAAAGTAATATAGCTACATTGTATTACATATTGATTCAATGTTTTTAATTTATAATATTATTTAGTGAGAATTTTTAGTTTATAAATATTAATGAATATTTACCTGTGCATTGCACGGGATTCGTACTAATTCATACTTTTACAAAAAGTGACAATTTCTCATTTTTAAAAAAACTTTATGGCTAAAAACCAAATCCACTCTTTCATAAATCTTCAATGTTGGGAAAGAGAAAGGAAGCCGAATATGATGGAAGTCACACGCAAAGCCAACTAACTAACATCTTGATATTAGTTGTTATTGTCTTGCCCTTCACGCCTAACACATAGAATAGCTATAACCTAACAAATTCATTTCCCAATCTGTAAAAGGTATTACTTTGTTTTCCTGTCTGCTTCCCAACCAACACTCATTAGGCTTTTTCTATGTTCCATTTGCATCAAAGACTATCTCGCATTATACTTGAGTAATAACAGCTTAAAAACTTTCAAACTTCTCCAAAGAAGTATACTTGAGTTGGTACTTCACATCAACCAACTCATGTTAGAATTATCAATCATTTTCCTCATCATAATCACGAATCTGATCGAAAAAAGGGTCCTCGAGTAGTTGGGCAGCCGAAGGCCTGGCTCTTGGCTGAGCAAGACACTTCTCAATAAACGCTTTGGCCTCGGGATCCTTCACCTTGTTCATGGCCTGAGGCCTCACTCCAGATGTCACCTTCTTGTAAATCTTTACCACATTATCACATTCGCTGTACGGAAGCTCGAGAGTCACCATCTCGAGCAAGCACATCCCAAACGAGTATATATCTATCATCTCTGTGTAGTTCTCGTCATACAGCTCAGGTGCCATGAATTCCGGTGTCCCCAGCACTGAATGGGCCGAGTGGTTTTTCCCAACTATAGCTGCCAACCCGAAATCGCCGATTTTCACCTGCACAATTGCATGAAGAAGGCCAATTTTATTAAATTACAATAAAAATAAATAAATTATTATTAGTGCAAAGATGAGGAAAAACAATTTGTAGTAGAAATTTTAAATGGCAGCAACTTCCAATCTATAATATGAAGAAAAGCCACTAGCTATATCATTTGTTCTTCTGTCTTCTTTATAGATTAATATCTGAATCATGTAATAAAACAAAAGACAGAAAAGGCTGCTTTAACCGTTTTTTTTTTACCTGGCCAACATTGCCGTTTATGAAGACATTGCTACAATTGAGGTCCCTGTGAATGACACAAGGTTCGTGTGTGTGCAAATAGTCGAGCCCTTTCAAGATCTGCCTTGACCACTTCTTGATGGCCTTCATCGAGACATGCCTGTGCCTTTTCCGGTACTCTCTTAGATTACCGGACGTACAAACCTCAGTTATGAAATTCAGGGTGTTCTTCTCCTTGTCCCGCCAGACAGAGTAAAGGGCAATTATATTCTTGTTCTTCAGGTTCCCGAGCAGGCGGACTTCAGAAAATAGTCGATTAATCATGGTCTCGTCATCTGAGAAGTTACGTAGTTTGACTTGATTCCAGGCGACTTCAATTCCTTCTTCTTGGTCAAAGGCTCTGTAGACTTTCTTCACGGCTCCCGAGCCCAGAAGCTCTTTGTAGCGGCCATATCGTCCTGTGGGGTCCACTTCCTCGAACGCTTCCAAGTCCCAATCCTCTTTTTTGTCACAACTCATGCTAGGCATCTACAACCACAACAGCTTGAATTAGGGATTGAAGATGATGATGAAATTGAATTTGACTATTCTGAAAACTGTTAAATGAACGCTATGACTAAATCAAATGTCAATCGGATTCTATTTCTTTCTTTTGTTCAAAAAAAAAAAATGAAAATTAGTGAACCATATAATATAATCAGAATTTTATAACAATTTGCACGATTTAGTTTTCGTCTTTGAAAGGACTGTGAGAAGATACAGAAGGAAGGAGTGAAAAAAAGTATATACATCGTTATTNATCACCATTCTCCGCAACCCAATTATGAATCGAAGAAAATCAAATAAAATTTTTAAATCATATTACTTTCAAACAATAATCAATTGGCCTAAATATATATCGCGCGCTGGGACGAAATTGAAGAAATATGCAGTAACTGCTGGGATGACGAGAAATAAAGCTTCGGATTGTAAAGACAAATACCATTAATCGATAAACTCCGACGGAGAAAACGGCGCTTCGTTTGATCCTTTCTTTTTTCTTGGTATGGTTTTGGCGCAGCTCGAGAGAATTAAGGAAGAAGCAAAAAGTTGCGAGTAAAAGACAAAAGAGAAAGAAGGGGACGCTACAGCTTGGGTTTGGTATTTATAAGCGAATTTAATATTTTGAGTCGTTGACTATGGTCAGGTGATAATTAACCGTCATAGACTAGGATTAGGAATAAAGATTCTAGCAAAAACAAAATATAATAAATGGTTGATTCTAGCTTTTCCACCACGTTCGAAAATAAGAAAACCATATAAAATATAATAAAACTAATGTTTAGCAAAATAAAATATAACTTGTTGAGTCTAGCTTTTCCACCACGTTCGAAAATAAAATTAAACTAAATTTATTTATAAACCAAATAAAATATAATAAAACTAATGTTTGATAATCAAGTAATCAACCGACGCACGCGTGTTACAAATATTAGTTTGATATTTTTTGTTACTTTACTTGTCAAGTAATTCTCATCAAAGAATAATGTGTTAAATTGTTAAATTGTTAAGATAATGTGTTAATTCTATTTAGCACTATATATAAAGTCAGTGATAATATAAAATTCACGTGAATATGTATCATTTTTTTAATTTATTATTTTAGGTCGTGACAATTGAATATATAAATTTATTAATTATAAGTTTATAAAGTACAATAAATATTTATAATTTTAAATGTGATGTTTGTATACAAATTATTTACATGTAATTATAGTTAATTTACCAATTATCATAAGCTTATAGCTTTTTTTTAACAATTCATACTTTGCATATTGTTTAATAACTAACTAACTTTTAATCCATAAAATTTATTTTCCTTTATTATAGTTCTAGATGGATGAAGCACTAATTATTTGATAATTAAGTTTAAATTGTAATAACTTTAATCGCTTATGAACAGAGTTTTTTCATATTAAACTATTTTATTTTAATTTTATATTTATTGCAGCACGCTTAACAGTTGATTATCATCACCATCTCTTTGATTTGGCTTCAATTGATTCTGAACCCTCTCAACCTGTAAAGTAGAATCAATTGATTTTGGACCACAATAATTTACTTAATATTGAAGAATTATTGAAATTTATCGCTTTTCATTCAACAATGTTAGAAGTAAACGTAGCTGAGAAAACAAACACATTCTAACAAGTACGACTCTATCTACGCAAAGAACACAATACAAAAGACCCAACCAAACTCTGCTAATTCTGCTTGTACGAAGAACTCACTCACCACACAAAAATATTTATGGCATGATTGATATGATGAAATGGAATTTCGTAGAAATTGAATGAATTGAAGAATGGAATGATTATGAGAATGAAATGAAACATGTTTTGTCATTGATGCGTTCGGTATGCAGAAGGAATAAGACTAAAATTATTTTTTATTATAAAAATAAATAAAAGCTTTTTTTATAAAAAAATATACTTTTAATAAATTATATATAAATGCTTTTTTTAATAATATATAAAAATAAAATATTATATTTTTAATAATATATTTTTAATAATATACAAAAATAAAATAATATATTGTTTAATAATATAAAAAATAATATATTTTGAATAATATATAAAAATAAAATTATATATTTATAAATTATATATAAAAAATAATATATTCTTAAAAGTAATATATTTTTAATATATATAAATAATATATTTTTAATAATATTTAAAATAAAAAGTAATATATTTTTAATAATACATATTTTTAATATTTTTCAATAATATTTTTAAGTTGATTCTCCGACTCATCAACCAAGGTCAATAGGTAGGATGACAGGATTTGAACCCGTGACATTTTGTACCCAAAACAAACGCGCTACCAAGCTGCGCCACATCCCTCCAAAATACTAATTAAAAAATAAATAAAAGTAAGGTTTCAATTTTTTTATTTGATTTTTTATTTAAAATAATTTTATTTAATATATTTTCATCATGATTTATAATATATAATATATATTTATTTTTATTATTGTTTGTTAATTTTATTTTTTGATAAATTGATTCATACACACGTGGGAATGAGAAAACCTTCCATTTACTATGGAATGGCTAATCCCATGTAGATGGGTTTTGCCATTCCCATTGGAATGGTGATTTCTTCCCAAAAAATATATCAATCATGGGATAAGGAATGAGTAAGGGAATGATCATTCCATTCTCATGTCATTCATTCCTACCAACATGCCATTACACCAATGCACAAGATGCAACCAAATCCCGATCCCTCCATCCCAAAATACAAACACCCATCACTCTCCCTAAGCGTATACCCCTCATTATAACTCTCAAGCAAACCCTTAATCGTCGCATTCACAAGCGGGTAGCTGTCTAAACCCCGCCACACTAAACCGCAACCTCCACTTAGCCATCACCTCATGTCGTTCAACCCTCTTCACTCCTTCACACGCTACAACATTCACAATATCCCGCGCCAAACAATGCTGCTCCACATTCACCCTCTCCTTACCTCTCCCTCGACAACACCACATCCATCAACTCAAACACTGCCAGATAATAATCGAGCGTCTCCACAAAACGAGCCACAAATGGGCCACCACTCGTGCCCATCTCCTGCTCCACTAAAGTCATGACCTTCACCTTATTATTCGGTGACAACCCCCTCACCATCCTCAACACCCGATCCCGATCATTTCGGGCCAGGCCCAAACCCGGGCCCACATTCTCGTCCGCCATGTGATGCAACACGAGCGCGAAATTCACGGCCACGGATTCCTCGGCCCGAACCTCGATCCGACCCATCTCGATTTCACAGCCCGAGACCAATAACCTGCAGAACTCCAAGGGAAACCCGCACAACTGAGCCAGGCCCGAAAGCCTGCGGCCCACGATCTCGAGCCCGCCGCCACGCGTGCGGCTCAAAACCGGGTCATCGATGCCCGTGATCGGAACCCGCGGGGGCCCGCCGGGCCGGCCCGCGACGGCTTGGATGAGTGGGGCCCACTGGGATCCCTGAGCGATTTGGAAGTCGATTATGTGTATTCGTGGCTCGTCGCGCATGGCCTCGGTTATGGCTCCGTTGGCGGACAAGTGGCCGAACTTGAAATAAGGGCACGCCTTGTAGAGCAAGTGCATGTAGGACAAGAGATCGGAGGTTTGGGGCTCTTTGCATTTTAGGGATTTATAAATCGAGCTTCCTGAGAGGTCGAGTCGAGCGATTAGGGCTTCGAGCATGTACCCGCCGAGTCTCTGTAGAGGGTCTTCGTGGACGGAGACTAGCGTACGCGATTCGGAGATCAAGCGGTCGAAAGTTGAGAGGTCGTTGAGTGCAGGGACGGCTCTAGGGGGAGGCACCATAGGCCCATGCCTAGGGCCTCCAATTTTTAAGGGCCTCAATTCTTTTTTTTTAATGGTTTATGTATTTGTGTTTGGTTTTATTTAGAGAAAATTACACCACCTACCATCCAAAGAAATTTTATTTGCACATTTACTAATCATTTATTTTTTTTGCAATTATACTAGCTATTAAATTTTCTCTCTCTAATTAAAAAGAATGAGACAATGGAAAAAGAAGGAAAGATACTTGCTAATAAATTCGCTCTCTCCAATTTACTAATCATTTATTTTTATAATAACTTTAAACTGTATAAAGAAGGAAAGAAAAAAAAACTGTAACAAAGGGGATCGATGGAGACGGAGAAAACGGGATTTGATGGATACGGGGAAAGCAGGCTCAATTCTCGAAGGCGGACACCGGCGACAGAGGCAAAAGTCTATTTTGATTCTCGAAGGTGGAGGTCGATATCGATTCTCGAAGGCAGAAGCCGGGGGCGAAGGACGAAGGCAAAGGTCGATCTCGATTATCGATGGCAGACATAGGCGGAGGTGTGGATGAAGGTCGAAGTATCAAAGATGTTGGCTGAGATACAGAGAGAGACTGAGAGAGTGAGAGCAGTTATATGGTCGAAATATCAGAGAGGCTCCGCGATAAGCTTTCTTTATTCCATTTTTTTTTTTTTTTGAACTGGTAA